AAAACATTTAATATTTAAAAGCACTCCAGTAAATAAAAACTCATTTATTAAAATAGTTAAATTTGAAAAGGAGAGGGTAATTTGATGTCTACGTCAGGATAAGAAAAGACATTTTACTAGAAATATTTATTTACTTTTATCTTTTTCTTTTATCTTTCTCATAAACAAGTCAAAGTTAGAAAAAGTGGTCCCAAAACACTATTAAGAATGTCCATTATAATGAAAGAATTTTGTACATTTTTCCAAAAGACCACATTAAAACCTTGCCTTGCTAGAGTTCATCTTATAATACATGCAGTGGGAAAAAATAACTATGCTGTTTCGTTCTAATTAGATAATTGGTGCAATATCCTAATGGGAATTAAAACGGTGACTGAAAAACACAGAGCATTATTCTATACCACTTCAAGACTTACAAGTTACAGAAATACAGCTAAGAGAAATATTTTAAAAATTAAAACATTTTACTTGCCCTATATCTTCACTTTGTGTAATCAAAACAGGGCATAATATTATGCAAATTTATTTGCTATTCAAATACCTTAGGAGGAAATATAACCGAGTTTGGGCTTCTAATCAATGGAAGGTATTTCATTAAAACAAACTAGAATTCTAGTAAAAATAAGGTGTATATATATTTTTTGCTTTTATCTATATCCGACTCTACGTTTCCTTTTTATTCACCTCATTCCCTTTCCTAATATCTATAACTTTAAAACCCCTAATGAAATAAGAAAAGTAAAAATTTGTTATATTGATGAATTTCTTCCATAAATATAAATTTTATGACTTGTTAGAAAATCTTTTACATTTATTTGAGTAAATACGTTTAGAAGTAAAATCTTTTAAAAATTTAAAGATTTATTAAAAATTCTTGAAATTGAAATGAGCTTAAAAAGTGAAATTACAGTGTACTTGTAAAATAAATTTTGAGGTAAAACAAGTTTAGTTACCTTTATTCCATTCTAAGTCAACCTTACTGAACCGTAAATGAACATTTTCAGATTCCTAGAGTATGTCAATAAAAATTATGTTTTTAATTTAGTTTTGATCTTTGCTAAAGTGAAATATAATCATCATCATTATAATACTGTGTATATCTGCATCACCACTTTAATTAGGAGTTGAAGTCAAACTACACCATTTCCTAAACAAGTAGAATTTTACTTATATTTACTTAAAATAAATAGAATATTAGATGACAATAAATTAACTAGAATTCATGTTTTAATAAATGCTATTCATACCATAACCTATGGAGAACAGTGAATCATGCATTTTTTACTACACTCAGTGACTCCAAAAGAAAACCCTTGACATTTCATCATCATAGGATAGTTTTTTATGGAACAGACTTTCTATTTATCAAAATAGTTTAGAAAATTTAGTCCTAAATCTGAAATTCTAAATTTCATGGTTTTTGTGTGTTCTTGAATCATCTGTTTTACATAATCCATACATGAAGAAAATTAATAATTCACTTCATTTTTTTTAGAAAGATAAATTACGCTTAAGTACATAAAGGACAGTAGAAAATCCAGGCATATCTTTACATTGGACTTATTGTACAAATACAAATGAATTTCTAAGAATCTCATTATTTCACAAAATAAATTATTTCTAAAAATTCATAAATTATTTAACCATGTGCTGATAAGTATCAATGGACATA